CCCGCCACCCCCAGCTGGCTCCCTGCCCCGGGGCAGGACGGCGCAATCGGCCAAGAGGCAGTGAGCAACGCCACTGGCCACTGGTGAGGAAAAGCATCCACTTTATTACAGACCCCAAACACGCCTGTGGCAGTGCCAGGAGGACCAGATTTACATGGGATGTTTCCATTTTTCAGCAAGGGGAAGAGAAGAGGGGAACAAACCCAACCGACCCTACTCACGGCTCTTTGGTGCTAGAAAACACATGGTGGTGCGGCAGAGAGAAGCTGTGGGTGAGAGGGGCACTGGCAGAGATGAGGGGGGCACCTCTGCCATCCACCACCACCACCCCCAATATGCCTGCAAGGAATTTGCAACGACCTAGAGACACACAAACAGCAAATGCATTTCGCTGTTCCCCCAGCCTGCACCTACCCCATGCCGCCAAGCGCTGCAGGAAACCCCCCTGCCTCCCCGTGTCCCCAAAATGGTCAAACATCCTTTCTGCAAAGAGGGAGAGCGGGTCCTGGGGGGAATCAGCGACTGAAATCTCTTGGCTGGAGAGGAAGGAGGTGGGAAAGGTGACCCGTCCCCAGTAACTCAGACCCTGGTGGGAGGTGAGGCAGCCAGATCTCCGCTTCACTCTTCTCCTCTCTCAGCAGCAATGGGCTCCTTGGTCCACTTGTCTGTGACCTCCTGATTCCCCGTGTAGCCCACGTCGGGCAGCAGGCCTGGGGCTCCCTCCCCATCCCCGGTGACCTCCAGGTCCAGCTCCTCGAAGGAGGAGCCGCTGGCTCCCGACTCGCTGTAGCTGTGCTCGCTGCGGTTGTCAGCCTCCTCCCGGCCACGGCTGGCTGGGAAGGGCAGCAGGATGGAGGTGGCCACCGAGGTGTCTCTGCTGTCAGTTGTGGCCTCCATGCTGATGGAGCTCGTCTCACTCATGGTGTCGGCCCCTGGGATGGAGAGAGAAGGGGAGGGAGTGAATGCTGCGGGAAGGAGGCAATAGGGATGGAGTGCCACAGCCTTCGAAGCCACCAGAAACCTCAGAGACGTCAGGCCACAGTGGAGACCAGCTCCTACCTCTTGTCACCTCCTGTACCTTTGAGAAGTGACCAGGTCAAGACAAGCACAAGCTGAACTCAAGCAGTTCCCTGAAATCAGGGCACCCTCAAGCCAGCAGAAACAACCCCCAGCTTCCCAGCCGTGCCCTGACCTTCTGGCCATGCCTGGGTCCCACTGCTGCTCTCTGTGCACACACCAAGGACCCAGCAAGCCCTCCCTTAGGGAGAATGCCCAGCCTGGGAGCTGGGGGACAACTCTGCCCCTGGCACAGCACCAGGAACACGGCAAAGAGCAGGACACTGTGCTGTGAGGCTGATAGGGAGCTGCAGCATTGCTTGGTCTCATCCCAACGGGGTGGTGGTACATGGGCAAGTCCCCAGATGTGCTGTTGTCAGAGGCTGGTACATGTCTGACCTCATGCCAGGGCATCCTAATACTGCCTTCAGCACCGCTTACGTCCCCCTCCCACTCCCTGCATGGCTCCCCTGCAGCCACCAGCTCTGGCAGCTCCAGCAGCAGGGCAGGGGAAGACGGGACTTGAGGTGCCAGAGGATGGAAGGAGTCTTCCCAGCTTGCTCAGCACTTCTCCATGTCACCCACCTGCCAGCCCACACCCCCTTTCATGGCTGAGCCCCCCCGGGGCTGCCCTTGCCTGCCCAGGTGGACCTCTCGGCTCATCGCCCCCTCCCCGGATCCCTGCCTCATTAGCTCTGTCGACAACACAATTAAGGAGTCGACAATGAGACGAGCGTGTCAGATCGAGACCAGCAGCTCGGTGCTGTTGCCAGAGCAACCAGCCGGGAGACAAAACCCTCCTGTAAAACATTAATCATTGTTAATTATGACATCACAGATCCACGTCGCTGATTACGACATCGCAGATCCACGCTGTTAATTACGACAGTGGCAGCAAACACTGGGCAGGCTCCTCCATCACCGCCCTCCCCACTCCCCCCTCTTCCTGCCTGCCTCGCAC